GGGGTGGTGGTGGTGGTGGTGGTGAGTATCAACTATAAACTCTGCCTACTTCTTACTTGTGCTTCAAATCCATATTCTAAGAATAAACCCGAAAACCACATTCTCTATTGTTAGTGGCCCTCTTGGTCAGAGTAGAACTGACCCAGATCTCTAAGGTTGTACAACTTTACGGAAGCACATTGCCTCTTCTTTCTCCCACGGTACTCCTGGTGGGTTTGATCCATCAACCTTTCAGTTGGCAGCTGAGTGCTGCACCACTGTGCCGCCAGGGCTCCTCAGGGAGAATGCATAGCACTGACAATGGAGTTTTACTTTCTACACAGGAGAATCTTAAAATGTAGTACAGGCTGAAAGAAGGTAAATGTGTAAGAATCTATACTATATAGCTCTATTTACGTGTAGGTCAAAATCGGGGAACAGAGAAGTCAGGAGAGTGGTTCTGGGAGGAAGGATGCCTACGGAAGGAGATGAGAGGATCATGTTTCATGGCAATAGTCTATCTCTTGATCTAGCTCACGGATGACAAACTGTTTCAGCGAAGAGTCAGAGAGTATATATTCTAGGCTTGTGGGCAACACAGCCTCTATCACAATCCCTCAGCTCTGTTGTTGACGCGCTCACCGCCATTGAGTCCATGCTGACTGATGACAGTGACCCTATAGGACAGGGCAGAACTGCCTCTGAGAATTTCTGAAACCATCAGTCTTTATGGGAGTGGAAATCCATGTCTTTCTCTCACAGAGTGGCTAATACAGCGGTTCTCAACCTGTGGGTTGCGACCCCTTTGGGGGTTGAACGACCCTTTCCCAGGGGTCGCCCAATTAATAACAGTAGCAAAATTACAGTTATAAAGTAGCAATGAAAATAATTGTATGGTTGGGGGGTCAGCACAACATGAAGAACTGTATTAGGAAGGTTGAGAACCACAGGGCTAGTGGTTTCAAACTGCTGACCTTGCAGTCAGCAGCCTAATGCATAACCACTATACCAACAGCTCTGTTGTTAGGTGTGGCTGTGGGGTGCATTCCAGGGCATGGCGAACCCAGGTGTGTCAAAGTGGAATGGCTCTCTGCAGGGTTTTCAATGACTGACTCTTCAGAGCTCAATCCCTAAGAGGCTCTTCCAAGGTGCCCTTGTGTAAACTCGAACTTCCGACCTTTCCATTAGTAGCCAAGTACATTAACAGTCTGCACCACCCAAGGACTCGAAAGCTGCCAAATACCATCTACATGTGATGCGAATAAGCACTGCTGTGTTCCGAAAGAACTGTTTACCAAAACAGATAATGGCCGAAGAGAGAGGTGTTGATTGCATTCGTGTGTTGAGAAGTTCATCGATCTGTACAGTTATATCGCTGCTACACTTCAATGAGTAAGTTTAAAAAAATAGCAAAACAGGGACATCGTTAAGAAAACGAAAACAACAACAAAACCCAGAACAAATGATAAAGATTGCCTAGTCTGCTTCTGTATTAGTATTGCCAAGACACGGCAGAGTTTGAATACATACTACCAATCTTAGCCACTTAAAAGCTCTGCTGCAAGGACTCAATATACCAACGTTATTGCTCATTTCCTTCTTTATGGGAGAAAAGTCCTTTAAGAAACCACAAAGTGGTTGGTTTTCTTAATGAATTTCCCTTTATTGAGTTTTATTATTAATGCTCAAATTGATTTCTTCTCCAAGTTATATCACTTTGCCATTCTATACTTTAAACTCTAAAAACATCAGTAGATACTTAGGGAAAAAGCAATCTAAGAAATACTACACATCAATTCTACTATTCCCTTAACTCTCAGGCTTGCTTAGAAAGAACTGCTTCATTTAGAAGTAATCCACTCTGACACCCCACTTCTACCTTATTTTATAGAGATGCATGTGATTCCAATCGTTAGTCAGGTTTGGGGAGCTTAAGAATTGCTGAGACTTTATTCAGGGTTTAATCTCTGTAGAACTACATTCTGCTCACCACAGGCCAGTGGTTCAAAACCACCAGAAGCTCAAGAGAAAAAGGAGGCTTTCTACTCCTGTAAAGATTTATGGTCTCATAAACCCACAGGGGCAATTCTACTCTGTCTTCTAGGGTTGCTATGATATGGAATCAACTTGATAGCAGTGTGTTTGGCTTTTTGAAACACAATCAGAAAAGGAAGAAAGAAAGAAAGAAAGAAGGAAAGAAGGAAAGAAAGAAAGAAAGATATAGGCTCAATGTTTTGTTAGGAGATTTTATTAGCTTCCAAAGAGATATGGCCTTCCCTTGCCCCTCCCACCATGTGAGATAAAAAGAATAGGAAAGTAATAATAACAAGACAGCTAGCATGTCCCAAATGCATACTATGGGCTAAGCACTGGTCTAACCCCATTTCCATGCATTAATTCATTTAAACCACACATATAACATATACTCTATGGAGTCCACCCAGAGGCACCTTGGAAGAAAGATCTAGCAATCTACTTTTGAAAAATCTGCCACTGAAAACTCTACTTTGACACCAATGGGGCTGTCATGAATTGCAATCAATCCAACTTTGCTTAATTGTTTTAATTGACTTCTAAAGTCCAAGCTCTTAGATACGTACTGAGATAAACAGTTTGTGTTTGATTACACAGGAATCTGATTCCTTAAATGTAGGTGTACCGTAGCTTAAGTACACTTAGCCTCTCCTACCCCTTCACCAATAGAAAATGGCCACTTCTATATATCACCTACAAATCAAATCATTTATAGCACTTGCAACATTTGATCACATTTATTCTTTTTTTTTTTAAAGAAAAACAAGTTTTCTATTTATTTTAAAATAAGTTCATAGTTACCCCATGGAGGGGGCAGTTCTTACACTTACATTCTAGTTTGCATAAAAGGATTCAAAGAATTTTGCATAAAAAACTAACATACAAAGTGTCCACATTACAATAAAGTCCAAACAATATGATAAAAAGAAAGGGCCCTGCTATCCTGGTGTGCGATTACCATTTACAACATGAAACTCCAGGCTGCTGGAAGGATATCTCATTTATTCTTCACATCTCTTCCCTTCCCCCACTACCCTATGCTCACTTTGAAAGCAGAGACGCTGCCTTATTCCTTTCCAATCCTGGGTGTCAAGAACAGAGTCTGTCTGGCCCTGAACTCAACTCAACAAAATGTCAGCGGAGTGAGTTGAACCCATCACACCATGAGTGACACTTTCCTTTTTGGTCTGTCAAAATTTCCAACTCATTTGTGTTCTCTGGTGATTTATGACCAGGTGTGGACACAGTGTCATGGGAGTTGTGTATGTCTAGGCTCTCGGCACCATATCCATGAATCAAGCTTTGCATTTAGCTCATGAATCTTCACACACTAAGGGCCTGGCTGATCCTCGGTGTATGTTTAGCTGACTACCGCCACAGATTTAACACGTGTATCTACAAATGGTGGGATAAAGTAGAATATGTTCATACTCATTTCTAAGTATTCATCGAAGAGTCCATAGGCATTCATCGGCTGAAGGTTGTAGTCCTTTTCCCATTGTGGGAAACGTACTTTCCTCTCCGGGCCATGCTCCTGGCGCACCTTTCTTCTCGTCCACCAATTCTGAATCAACCTGCACAAACAAGGTCAACCTCTATAAGAAATGTAACTGTCCACAGACCTGAGGTGAGCAGAGAGGGGAGAGTCAGAATAAAGAGTCAGAATATATTTATTCAGGACAGGCTACCAAGGACATGAGACTTCAGTCTGCTAGACAGGAACAATGGCTTCTATACTTCAAGACTTTGCATTTGCCAGTAAACAGAATGGCGCATAAGCTTATTTTAACTCCTCGTGACACAGTCTCTTGTGTAGTCTTGCCGATGGGAAGGGAGCAGAAGACCGAGAACACCTAGAGCCATATCCCTTTGTATAAAGGGGCAGCCAGGTATCTGGGAAGAGAATGATTTAGATTTTCTGGCTCAACGTGGAATGCAAGAGCAGTCTCACAAACTGGGTGTGGCCCTGACTTCAGGGCCCCAGAGAACTGAGAACCCTCAAAATGTGCCATCTCCTAGTACGCTGGGGCCGAAAGGTCTGCACTTGCCAGCTTTGGGACTGAGTTGGGCAACAGTTCTGACTTCTCTTTAGATGCATTTGGCTTTGGCGAGGCTAGCACATTAGTCCCCAGTATGAACCTCAGGACACAGGGGAGGGTTGAGGGGATGGGAGGAAGGGAAGCAATGGTGTGATACTTGAGAGTAGAAATGCAAAAACCACGTGAAATCAAGGCAATGTGGCAGTGAATAACAACCACAAAATGCCTGTTTCACCGCTGTGCTCCAGGTCCATATTCCCGATACAAATTACAGCTCCTCTGATGTGTGTGACACGGATGCATTTTAGTTTACACTCGGAGGCCGACTATCATGCTTCTACTTCTTTTACTTGATGATTTACTCTTAAAAAAAGCTTTACAGAAAGTATCAAACATTTGGCTTCTAAAAACAAATGGAAGCACACAAAGCTACTGGCATTGGCTCTGGCAGGGAGTGAAGAGATGACTTTCTGAAGTGAACCCAAGTTGAAGTTCACATCAGAGTGGTCCTCTCTGAAACCTGGAGTTCTCCGTCTCCATCGAGACGTGAGCTCACTGGCAAACCAGTTGGTGTGAAATGAAAGTGGAAATCAGAGAAGCGATGCTGATTTATGTCCCCTTAAACTTTAATTGACCAGAACTATGCAAACCCAGCATCATTCAAGGTTGCCCTTTGTTCCAAAGGTCAAGCGGTTGCCCATTGACGGAGACTCACCTGGGGGTCATTTTAACTGGGTAAGGAATGCTGACTTAGTAGTATTTCTTTTTTTTTTTTTTAATCCCTGAACTTTCCTCTTTCCATAAGCTCATTTACCATCCCTGACCGCCTTCTAGATCCACCCCATGTTGAAATGTGTCCTTAATAGCCAGAAACTTGGTAATGCTAGGGCAGAAAGGGTCAGAGACATCATATCAAGTGTTCTGAAAGCAAGTACCCACTCTTTAGGGCTCCACAGAGCTCTTCTTCAAGAACATTCACTAGGACGTGTGTTAAATCTCCCAAAGATCCAGCATGTAGGATTTTCAGACTTCCTTTGAATAGCGAACACTGAGCTCCAGGCAGCTGCCCTGGGGGCACCGCTGAGTCTGCACTGCTATCTTACTTGCCAAACCTAGAAAAGCCCATCATGAGCTGGGCTGCTTGTCAACTGTAGATATTGAAGGTACTTACGGGTAGCCAAGTTCCATGAAATTATTCCAGGTCTGCTTTAGCACCATTATAATGCCCATTTGCATACAGAGATCAATAAGGCATCCACTAGGGTGGCACTGTGAGGTAAGCAAACACAGAAATTCCAGAATCAATGGGGAGAAGGAAAGGATGCCTGGTTTCTAATCCCCACAAAGTTGCCCTAAGGTGGTTTAGTGCAAGTCTGTAGGAAACAAGGCATGATGGGAGAATACAGACCTCTTCTAGCCTCCACCTGTTTATCAGCCTCAAGTAGGCACCTGGGTGTCCTGTAAATCTTCAACACACACAGAAAAACAGATCATTAGCATTCTGCAGTCTAGACTCAGTGACTATTCTATGCAGTTTACCACACTCCCGACCTAAGCAATGGCAACGCTTCACGTCTGAGGGAATGAGGAATCTACAGAGCTGTCCTGGAGACAGTGTCTGGAACATTTAGGGGGATGTCTTCTCTTTTGGCATAATGGCAGGGCACAGAGACCATCTCTCATTATTTAAACATTTTCTGCTGAATATCAAGCACTGTGGACTGTGTTAAGTAGTAGGTTTATTTTTGGACTTAAACACTTTTCCCCCCTGATCTTTCTGAATCATAGGAATGCTGTGTTGTTGTTGTTTTTTGATTAAATTAGTCGTGAGCTACATAATGTCCATGCAGTTAATGTCTTCCTGCATACATGTCAGGAAAAAGCCTATTATATTAAACATTATAGGTATGTGCAATGATTTGCAATAACAAACAGGCTTTACTTTGCATCGATCACCAATGTATTATTATTTTTTCTATATTATTACTTTAAAGATGTTTTGGTATATCTGGAAGTGTTTTTTAATGATTTTATGCACAGAAAATATATACTATATACGATATATTTATACCAACATCTGACTACCTGACCTTAGACATCGAATGAACAGTACCTAACCGAAATGCACATTCAACTCAAAGACAGACTTAGGACAGGAATCGACTTATTTATATAATGTTTGCACGATGCCCATCTCATATAACGTCCTTATTTCTCAGAACATATGGTGGCCATTAAGTGACGCAAGGCTGTACAACTACAATGACAGGCTAGAACAGTTAGTAACTGAAGGGCAGTGGCTATAATCGCCTGGCCAAAATCCTGTACCTGGTCCTACCCTGCTTTCCATCTCACAGATGCTTCCGGCGGTAATGAGATTCAGGGACATTGCCACTAAACACAGAGTCCTGCCCAAATCCTCATCACAGCTGGAAGCTGAAGCTGCACAGTCTCCTCTGACACCCTGTTTCAGCCCCTTTCCTGCTTGAAGGCACTCTTCTCCTCTCTGAAGTCGGGGAGGTGGGTCCTGCTGCAGGCTTCCCTCCCTTTTCTACCTCCTGCTCATACCGGCATGAGATATTTGTGTCTGACTGGTGCCGAGAGCTTCGCTCCATCATTCACATGGAAGAACAACTTTGCTCTACGTATCTCAGCAGTCAAAGTCACACAGGCACACAAAGGATTTCTCTAGGATGGGATGGGTGGGAGTTTTGTGATTTGGGGCAGGCAGAGAGGTGGCCACTGGTCCCCTTTCATTGGAGAGGAGGAGCCTTCCTGTCATCCCTGGTCAGCGCCCTCTGTGCACTCCGTCCTGGGAAGATGCGGAGGGTGGGGGCCTTACCTTCCAAGGAAGAACGCAATGTAAAAGGTGGAGCTGTTCAGATTGACAAACTGAAAAAGAAACATTTTCAACGTGAAGCTGTTCTCCCACTCTGACTCCGTGCGAGGCTGTTCTGTGAATGAAAGGGAGCAGACTTTGAATCCGACCCGTTCTCGGGTCCCCTCACCCCCCAGTTGGGAAGCAGAGAAGGCTCACACATGCTGAGTGATAGAAAGGGGACCCCCGGGATCAAGCTTGTAGACCCGCTACCACGAGGGAGGTGGCTATTGAAGGAACGAAAGACAGCTTGTCCGACTGTCTCAGGAAGGCGGAAGAGCATGGAGCAGAGGCGCTCCCGGCTTACGGGCCTCTTTCCCAACTCCGGCTCCCTGAACTAACAGCCTCTTCTTTGAATGCTAGTCTCGGGGCTGGGAGCCAGGCTTTCTCTGAGCTCCTGAATTCCTCAGCACTGACTTCATGTCTGACATAATGCCACATACGATTGACTAGTTGAGGTCCTGCCTCAGAATGCAGTATTTGCGCTGCGTTTGACTCTCACCCGTCATTTTCCGAACAAGGTAGCGTGGCGGTTAAGGGCAGAAATGACAAGACTCTTTACCTTCCTTTTGCTTCTGCTTACAGAACTCCTGGTTCCACGGGAAGGACTCCTGGGTTGCCAACTAGCTCTATGGATGAACGCCTGGATTACCAGTGTTCTAACCATGATTGAACCAGGGAAGCACTCCCCACCCTTCCTGCCCCCGCCTCAGCATCTTTGCCATCCTGGACCAATGCTCCATCAGATACACCCTTCCCGAGGGTATCTTTTGGGGTGTTGGGTGATATAAAGAAATATTTCAGTGACGATAAAGAAAATAAGTTAAGTGCTTGCCATTCAGAAGGGCTCAATAAATGGTATGTTACTAGATCATGGACCCCTGGAATCACTGTGGGTTAGATATTTGGCTGCTAACCTCAAGGTTGGTGGTTCAGACCCACTAGGCACTCTGTAAAAGAAGTCTGCTCTGGCAAAGAATTCATCTCGGAAACCTTACATAGAGAGGCTCGCTATGAGTTAGAACGGACTCGATGGCAGTAGAATTGGTTTGGGTTTATTATGAGGTTATTGCAAACACAAACACTCGGTGCTGTTTTCCTTCTAGGCATGCTACATTTGGGGATGAGCTGGAATAAGATATGCGTAGACACGTCTAATGTTCTCCCACTACATAGGGTACATGACTGCAACCCCCAACCAACTGCTGCTGGGCCCAGACTGCCTCATGGTGAGCCCACGCACATCAGAGAGTGCTGTGCAGCACAATGGGGGTTCCCAATGGCTGACATTTTGGACATAGATTACCGGAACTTTCTTCAGAAGAGCCTCTGAGTGGACACAAACTACCAACTTTTCAGTTAGCAGTCTAGAAAATTCACTATTGGCATGACCCAGGGATTCCAAATGATTAGTACCTGATTGATAAAACTGGAACCATTTTTACATATCTTGAAAACATGGTACACATACAGCTTACAGGTGACTATCAGATTTTTCTGGGGCTTAGCGGGGTCAGGCAAATGTGCTTAGGTGTGATTGTTCAGATGTTATTTCTAATAATATGTTCTCTCTTTTCACATTTCCTAGCTGCTCATCGAAAATTTCACCCTGAGAATTATAACACAAAATCCCTTTTCCAAGAATTACAACTCACAGTGCTCCCTGGGAGTGTATCTGAGAAGGGAAAGGACAGAGAAAAGCAATCTGATTTAGAAAGGGTTAAATGCTAATTGATTAACATTTATTAACATCATTAACAAAGGTCATGGGTTGCTTGCCTGCCTACGTTCCTGGTGAGAGGTCCCCAGTCTTCAAAACAATGAACTTTAATGTGGCTTTATATAACCTGAAAACTCAATACAGGTTGAATTAAGTAAAAACTGTTAGTGGAGACCAAGTGAACACTTTTCCTAACTGATACTTTAGATACTTTGTGGGAAAGGGCCTTAAAATGTTTGTGGAAAAATTCTATTATCTTTGATTTCTATTTTTCCATCAATTTGAAGTTCCCTTGTACATGTGGTTCGGTGATTTTTCTCCCCCCTCCCCACCTGCATTAAGGGCAAGCCTACGTGAAATTAGCTCATGAGAGAGATGGTATTTGTGGCAAATTTTAAAGCTTTAGATTTAAGAAGTCCTCTAAACTACAGAACAGTTCACATGGGTTCTGTGGAAGGAGAGACGATATGGCAGTATGCATCTCCAAATATAGGCGCTCTTTCTTTTCGGCAGGGCGTCTACTGAGGGCATTCTTTGTAGCAGCTTTGGAAAGGTTTATTCAGACCATGACACTGTACTACGAAATCAGGAGTGTGCCACTTACCTAAATTCGTCAGAAGAAGCGCAACTTTTTCATAGAGCTGTAAGAAAAGAAAAGAAAAAAATTCACAGTTAGTCACAGAATGAAAGCTGTTCTGGAATTGACAATTACCAAGGAAATCAGTAACCATGTCTTCCCAGCCCTCCTGGTCTCACAGCTTCTATGTGAAGTCACTTATGCTTGTTTGAGCTCTAAGCTGCTGCATTCCTATTGCTTATGGACTGCTGTGTTTTCTAGATTACAGCATTCATAAAAACAGAGATGACTGAACATTATGGCGCTCGGGGTTTTCATTAGTGCATTGGATGCTCCCCTAATGCACCCATCCATCTGGTGAAGGGATGGTCTTGAGAGCGACTGAGCTAGTGCGTATGTGCGTGTGCGTGCGTGTGTGCGTGCGTGTGTGCAACTCCAGCTCTAGGGGAATCCACAGAGTAGAAAGTGAGTAAAAGGGAAAGTGATCTCTCTAAAATACAAGATAATAAATACAACCCAAAAGAAAAACCAGTTCAAATGCATTTGAACAATATACAAATGAAGATCACATTTAGACTAACCATAAAACCCAAACCAAACTCACTGCCATTGAGTCAATTACAGCTCACAATGACCCTAGAGCACAAGTTTTAACTGCCCCTGTGGGTTTTCAAGAGTATAACTTTTTCTTAAATTAAAAGATCATTTTATTGGGGGCTCTTACAACTGTTATTATAAGTCATACATCAATTGTAACAGACAGATTTGCACATGTTGCCATCGTTCTTTTCTAGACATTTACTTTCTATTGAGCCCTTGGTATCAGCTCATTCCCCCCGCCATGGCCCCTTGATAGATTATCATTTATTATTATTTTCATAACTCACACCAACCGCTGTCTCCCTTCCCCCATGGTTTCTGCTGTTCTTCCCCCTGGAGGTGTGTGTGTGGTTATGTGTCGATCACTGTGATCAGTCCTCCTTCTTCCCCCATTCCCACCTACCCTTCGGGCATTGCTATTCCCATTGCTGCTCCTGGATTCTGTGTGTCATGAGCTTTTAGATTGTAATTTTTTATGGGAGTAGAAAACCACATCTTTCTCAGAGTAGCTGTTGACCTTCAGTTGTCATGAATTGGAATTATCTTGGCAACTTTTTCTTTTTGGGGGGAGGAGAGTTGACAACAATGTACTGGTTAAAAAACTCTCCAGCTGGACTAATGCTGTATCAACTAGCAAGCTATAGGAACTGGGCAGGTTACTGCGCCCAGTTAGATCAGCTTTCCCCTTCTGTGCAGGGAGAGATGGATACTGAACTCAGTGTCTTCAAGGTGGATGCAGACCCTTCTGTCTCTCTGGCTCAGTGGTTAATTTTACTATGAACCTCTCCCTTCACAAGGTGTCGTCCACAATGAACTTTGGGACTGAATTGTGCAGGAAGTGAAAAGTGAGGGCTGCTGTCAAACATCTACTTTCAACCTCCATTGACTGAGCAGCCACGCAGGCATCATGTCAAAAGGGCTCAGGAATTGCTCTCTTTTGTTCAGTTTTTTTTTTTTTTGGCTTAAACTTGAGGGTTGTGATGCTCCTTGTTCTAAAACAACAAGACACCGGTGTATTTCCTTCACTATCATTATATAAAGAAACGACTTGCATTTCAATAGCTCGGGAATATAACAGTTCTAGAAATCACACATGAAGTTGCTATTATTGGGTAGATTGAATTCCCTTGACCGCTCAGGGTTTATTGGCTATGGAATTCAGGATTGTGTACAGAGCCAGAAGTGAGTTTACATGGATGAAACCGAGATGCTGATCGCATTCAACTGGCCTTTTAGAAACGATGTGTGCACTTTAGCTTATGAAGTACAGATAAGGCGAGGGAACTAGGCTTTATTCAATATCTACAATAAACAAAATAAATACGTACATTTCCACAGTGCTAAATGCTATGGAGAAAAACAAAGCAGGCAAGGAGAGGGAAACTGTCAGATGACAGGGCTGGGTTGTAATTTTAAAGAGAACGACCAGGGCAGGCCTCACTAGAAAGTAACACTGGAACAAAAGCCCGAGAGAAGTGAGGGGTGAACGAGGCAGAGAACACAGCAACACCAAGGTCCTGGGGCGAGAGGATGACTCACACAACCAAGGGTCACCGAGCAAGCCTGGCGGGAGCAGGGGAGTCAGGACGAATTGGGGAAGAGAAAGGTTGGTGTTGGCATGATGTCCCCTTGAGGGAACATCTTGAAGGGCACTGTGAAGATGCGGACTTTATTCTGAGCAAGAGAGAAACTCACTGGACACTGTGAACAATGGAGGACCTGAGTGGCCCTATATGGAAGAAGTCCACTCTGGCTTCTGTGTGAGCAACATGATGTAGAAAGCCGTTAGTGTAGGGTAGCAATGAGAGATGTGTGAAAAATGATCCAATGCTGTATGCATTTCTATGGTGAGAAAAAAACAGAGGAGTTAAAGGATAATGCCAAGGTTTTTAACCTCAGCAAGTTCACTGTGGAATGCATTAGGGGGAGACCCTGGAGTGGTAAGTTGGATACGTCAATTTGTGGTTTCCAAGAGAGATCTGAGCTGGAACACACATTTGAAAGAAGCTGGAAATCAATGATTTCCAGCACAAGAAACACACAAACCACGATGAGATTTTCCTGGCACGGTTATTTCAGAGAATTCTTCCGCTACTACCGCCTCACCACATAGACTCAAGAGGTGAGGGGACCCACGTTGCTGCGCTGTGGGACAGGTCTGGAGCTGGGTGCTTTGAACACATTCTCCTTCTAACTTTCCCAGACTGCCAAGGTTTATCCCTAAGTCAGTTGCAGTTGAGTTAGTTTCTGACTCATGGCTGTGTGTGTGTGTCAGAGTAGAACGGTGCTCCACTGGGTGTTCAGTGGCTGCTCAGTCTTTCTTCTGCACAGTCTCTGGGTAGACTTGAATGTCCAACCTTTTGGTTCGCATCCAAGTGTGTTAACTGTTTGCACCACCCAGGGACTCCAGGGAGTACACAGCATTGCATTATTATATAAAGAAGGGTTTTTAAAAAATAGGCAGAGAGGTAAATTGAGTGCTTTGCCTAATCTGACACTGTAGAGACACTCAGATGTGAAAGAAGACGTTCAAACCCTCCATCCTGAGTGGATCTTCATGCCAGGTTTTTGCTAGGCAACCAGGTTGCTTTAGAAACCGAAGCAAACTACCACCTGCAGCCCTCATATTTGTGTCCATCTGCCTGCTAGTTCCCTTGCAGCTCACTTACCACGTTCAACAACATAATGATACAAAAGTTGATGCACACAGCAGTCCCTGTGGTTGCAACCTGAGAGTTATTCCTGATTAGCGCCCACTTGAAGGCTGCGAACGTGCTGACGGTTACCACCCGGTAGATGACGATCCCAAACACAGCAGCGATCACCACACAGATCTGGCAGGAAGAGAGAGGAGGCTCAGTGAGCAGCCAGGATCAGGAGGAGGAACTGGCCCCACCTGGAAGACCCTCTGATTAGAAAAAGGAAATAAAACTCTGCTGGCGCCCACTACAGAACCCACAACAACCGCACACTTTTCTTTGTGCTCGATACTTGCTCCTGTTGGTTTGTAGTTCCTTTGCTCTTCATCTAGGACAACGGTATTGCTTAAGAGCTGGAATCTGTGTAAACGATGGGGTAACGCTTTACTAAGTGGAAGACTGGATTGCGCAGATGCAGACATGTTTATTAGGGGATGTGCATCGATTGTTTCCATCATCTGTTTAAAACTATTACTGGTAACTGGCTTCCCATTACTCTTTGGAGAAAAACAAAGTCCTTACTCTGTCCTTTAAAGCTTTTCTCCTTCCCACTGGGGACCATTCACCCCCGCCACTGGCACTCCAAGCACATTGGCGCTCCGCCATGGATTCAACTGTATGAGGGCTCTTACTCCTGAAGGCTGTTTCCTTTGCCTAAAATGCCCACCCTCCCATTCCTTTGCCAAACACAGGCACACCCCCCGCCCCCCAGTTAATTACTACCCAGCCACCTCTAGAGCCACTTCCTCATTCGGGCTTGTCAGAACCTGGGATGGTTTCTTTGTTCTGTGCACCTCTGCTTCTCTTTCAATGTACTCTCTGACAGTTCGTTTGACTGCTGACAATCGGCTCATCAGAGAGTAACGAAGGTATCTGTTTTCGACTTTTGCAACCCCTGAGCATAATTATGGGCAGGTGGTCGATGGCAACTGCTCATTGGTGAATGAACCAACTTTGACGGGAACTTACTGGTCAGCTATACGCACAGACTGGGTCATCGTTCTTTGGAGATTTGACGGTATATGATGACAATATGGCATGTATTCTAGCGATGACAAGAGAAGTGGGGCATACAAAAAGTTTTGTAACTATCATTGGGTGAGGCTGCTCAGGTGTCCGAGAACAGAGACGGCAACTCAGCGTAGTTGTCAAAACCTGGATCTTAAAGTCAGGGCTCAGGATGGGCTTTGCTTCATTACAGAATCCTTTTTCAAGGAAGCACTCTTCTCTCTTGCAAACTTGATTTCTTGCCTACTGCAAGAGGGAGCACCAAGGGAACCCTCATGATCAAGCATTTGATTCTTAACTGAAAAGTTGATAGTTCAAACCCACGAGTAGCTCTGAAGGGTGGTCTGTTTGCATAGAGATGACAGCAGTGCTTCTCAACCTTCCTAATGCTGTGACCCTTTAATACAGTTCCTCATGTGGTGGTGACCCCCAACCACAAAATTATTTTCGTTGTTACTTCATAACTGTCATTTTGCTACTGTAATGAATCCGGCGACCCCTGTGAAAGGGTCGTTTGACCTCCAAAGGGGTCGCAACCCACAGGAAGAGAACCACTGGATAACAGCCTTAAAATCTCAACAAGGCAGTTCAACTCTGCCCTATAGGGTCATTAAGAATCAAATAAACACGGTAATGTATTTTGTTTTTGTTTTTTAACTCGGGGTGACTGTAAGCTCTTAAAAGCTTGGTCTGAGCTGAGGGACGCTGGGAAGGTGACGTAACCTTTCAGTTCCCAAGTGTCTTCACTGACAAACAGGGTAGGTTGTCTGCCCTTGCTGTATGGTCTTGTCTTTCCAACTCCAATAGTCTACGATGTACATTTGTAAACTTGAACATTGGAAGGAAGTATCCCAATCCTCTCTTGTTGTAAAATGGTATTTCTGACAAATCTGTGTACATTGTGTACACAATGTATCAAAGTTGATCACAAAATGACATTTTAGGGAATGCTAATAACCTAGTTCTAAATTAGTGTTTTTCCAAACAAATGAGACAAAAAAAAAAGAATCAAAACAAAATATTCACTGCCTTCTAATCAATTCTGAATCTTAGCGACCTCATAGGACAAGGTAACTGCTCCCCCTGGGCAGTTCTTTACAGGATAGAACCACCTCTTTGCAGGAGTAGAAAGTCTCATCTTTCTCCCATGGAGCAACAGTGGCTTTCAATTGCTTATCTTTCAAATAACAGTCCAATGCATAACCCACTCTGCCACCAGAGATCCTGGTAATGAGACCAAGAAATAAATTTTACTGGGTTATAGTTAGCATTAAAGAAAAAGGCTATAAAAAAAGGCTATCATAGAAAAGATTGAATGTGTTGCATATTGTAACAACACGTACAGTTTCAGTTATTATATTCAGTTTTATACATATATTTGCATAACATGTATTGGGTTAGGAGAAGAAATATATTTCTTACTATATAGACATGGTAAAAAAAAGTTTGAAAAGCATTATTGTAGACTGTTATATTTTTATTTCCTCTCAGTAATGCACAAGAGGCAAGTGGATTGAATACTGAGTTAGTAGTCCGTGTGAACTGAATTCCACATTGGCCACTTACTGGCTGACCCTGGCCAGCCCATCCCCCTGTGGATCTCAGCTGCTACTGCTGTGATCATGCTAATATTTGGCATTCTATGTTACAAATATGTTACAAAACAAAACCACCACAATAAAAGAACCAGTTTCAAACCATAAAAAATATTCCAGATGCAGAAACGACGAGTCTGCTGCATTTATCTGCAAATGCTTGATAAGGTTCTGGCTTTCCTGAAATGGGGTTCATTCGCTCTTTCTTGGAATACTTGGCTTCAAACTGGGGTCGTATTTCTTCCTGGAGAAGACACATTTTTATGCATTGAATAGATGCTCACATAATAATAATAAACATTTCCAACTGTTCTACCACAAAATAGTTGCCATACTTGTAAACTAATGAGGTGGGCTTTGAGACCCAAGTTTCAATGCTGGGAAATTGTAGAACATCCTATGGATGGAAATCTAGACTTATCATTAACAAAAGTCAATGTAGTTCAGACTAACAGTTAAGTGTTTCTGTTATCTTATTAAACTATGTTTAAAGAAGGAATTGGAGAATACTGGCTTCAATGAGATTCTCTATATTGCCTCCTGGAGTCCCTACGAGCCGTAGACGTTAAGCACACGGTTACTAACTGAGAGGCGGGTGGTTCAAACCTACCGGAAGCACCTTGGAAGGAAGGCCTGGCAATCTACTTCCAAATGGTCCCAGCCTCAAATCCTAGGAGCTACAGCTCTACTCTATAATCATGGAGCTTCCAGGAGAGGGAATCCCTTGACAATCCTTTGTGTGAGTTATAATGACAACATAACTCTTGGCTATTTCCTGTGATTTTTTTTTCCATATCTAGGCAGCTGAAAATATGGTGGATTGAGTTTTTAATAAGCTCCCATAAGAGAAACCCACCTCTGACAATATATGTTAAATCTATTCTTAATTGGCTCTGAAAACAAGCTAAAACCTCTCAAATCCAGCTAAAATCAAGACCCTCCAACACACCATCAAGCTGAGACTTTATTACATTGGGCTTCAGCCGTATGTGAGCAGCTGTGACTGAAAAGCAATTAGAAGGTTAGGAAAAGGTAATCAGCAACTTGGTGTGCTGAAGTGGCTCTGATTAATTTAGGGCACGTTCTCTTTGAGCGTCCTGGAACAGGAGGGGAAACGAGTAGAAACTCCGGGGTGATGGCGATTGAGTTAATGCAGGCAGAAATGAAGAACAGGTCACAACTGGTAGCACCTTATCTGTTCAGGTTAAAGGGCAGCTTTCATGCCGGTTCTGCCGGGCTCCTGCCAGGGGATACACTCAGTGCTGGGCCTCGCTCCATGGCAGGGAATGGGGAAGGGCAGGGGAAGGGGATATGGTAATAAAATCTGCTTTCTTTCCTTTGTTTTTAGGTTGTCACACAGATAGAACAGAACAGGGATGTTCTGGGTTTGGGGGGTGGGGAGCTCAAATTATCAGGTTGTACATGTCATCAAAGACGGTGTCTTGGGGTCTTAGTGGGTGACCCTTAGCCCAACTGCTGTAAGGTTAGTGGTTGAAAACCACCAGGTGTCCTATGGAAGGAAGATGAGGCTGCCTGCTCCACTACAGATTTGCCATCTCGAAAACTCTATGGCGTTCTAGTCTGACCTAGAGTCACCATGAATGACAACAGACTCATGGACCGCGGGCTTTGGAAGGGCCACCAAAGAGGAATCCTGGTGGCTCAGTGGGAAGTGCTCGGCTGCTAACTGAAAGGTCAGCAGTTAGAACCCATCACTTGTCCGCAGGAGAACGGTGTGGCAGCTGGCTGCCAGAGAGACTACAGCTGTGGGAACCCTGTGGGGGCAGTTTGACTTGGTTCAGCAGAACCACTGTGAGTTGGAATTGACAAGACAGCCACCGGACTTACTTTTGGTTTCAAGCACCATCTGGAGTCCGTGAGCCGGACACCCAAGGACGGAAGGCAAGAGCGCACGGCCTGTGTTCCTGGGTCTCCTCAGAGAAGGTGGCAGACACTGAGTCTAGGCTTTTCTGCCCAGCAAGCTGAGAGCTAAAAGGCTGGAAGGAAGAGTAGTTCCACAATGACTCTCAAGCTGGACCTGGGACCGCACATGGCCACTGATAGACAGGCTCCTGTACTGAGTGGAAGACTGATTCAACACACCAGCTTTTAAACAGGGGCGAAGAAGATAGAAGGCTCGCCGCAATCTGTAAGGGAGATGCTTAACTTAAAGGCAGGCATATGTTGGGGCCGCCATGACAACAAGGTTTTAGAGGTGAAAGGGGACAATTTAGTCCCGCCTCTCTTCTTTAGAGATGAAAATAGTCCAAAGGTGATTTAAGCCATCCAAGGTGACACTGTTCCTAAGTGCTGACTCTGATTCCCAGGAAAGAGCATTTTTCCACTCCAGTAATGAGTCACTCCCATGAACCCATGGAATAAGAGACTGTGGAATGGGCTAGTGAGGCCCATAATCTGCCTGGACAGTGTCTTCAAGCCCAGGAAATCATTTCTGAAGAATGCTTTGAAAAGCACAGGAGAAACCTTTACTAGGAAAACAAGACTTTTTAAGATCTCAGTACCCCTTTCTGAACTACAAACCATACTAAGGGAGAAAAGGCAACTATCAGAAGGTGTGGTTCGAAGAATCCCTTACAAAAAAAGTTACAATAACTTTTTCCCCATTGACTCTACCACAATGTAAAATGACCACCTGGGTTTCCAGATTAGTTTTAAGATATACAAAATATATAGATGTGTCTCTAGGGAAGAAAATACTTATTAATCCCTATTATCCCATGATATATGATTAGCTTATCTGATTTATTGGCATAACAAGGTTCTGAGATGTGGAACTCAAGGGAGGTAAGAGATAATGAATGGGAGTGTGCACCCACTGTCCCGGGACAGCAAGGTCTGATGGGGAGCAAATTTGTTTTTGTTACCATCATTTTTTTTTTTAACAGCATGGAACCAGGCTGTAACAACATGAGTTCATGGCACTGGCAGATCTTACTGTATTTTTTTTTAATCGTTTTATTAGGGACTCATACAACTCTTATCACAATCTATACATACATCAGTTGGGTAAAGCACATTGGTACTGTATTTTTAATAAAGTATCTCAATAGCTTAGAGAGTGCATGTGATGGTTAATTTGGGTGGCCGCTGGCTAGGCTGTGATTCCCAGCAGGTTGGCCAACCACAAGTCCAGTTGCTGCTATGGCACCGTTACTTATGATTTTATCCATTGACTTTAAGTAAAGCAGATGGCCTTCCATAATGTAATCTCATGCCTTATGACCAATCAATTAGTTGACAGCTTTCAGAGCAAAAGGGGAATTACTCTAAGGCACATTCTGACTCTACACCGTAGGTTCCCAAATGTGTTTGGCTGACTACCCCCTTTTCAGGAAAAATAAGAACCAAGCTCACTGCCTCCCTGGCAATCAAAACTTTTTGGAATATGAAATATAATCCACGATAAAGTATAGGTTTCTGCTTTTGCAGCCTCCTGGGTGGTTCCGACACACCCCAGGGGATAGTGTCCCTCACTTTGGAAACACTGATCCAGATTATAAATACATAGTTTGAAAAAGCCCTTTCCTTATTCTTCACTTCTGTTGACCTACGTAACCTGGGACACAAGCCTTCACGACTTTTCTCCTCTCACCTAACCAATGGACTTTGAATTTGCTGGGCCTGACAATTGCTTGAGCCAATTCTTTGAAGACCCTCATAACTGCACCAATGAGCAGCATCATAATAAATGGAGACAAGCTCGACATTGTCAAGGATTGAATTTTGCTTGGATCTGTAATTAGCACCTAAGGAAGCAGCAATGGAAGCATTCAAGAAATCCAATGGCATACTGCATCGAGCAAATCGGCTACAAGAGACCTAACAGGCTGAAAACCAAAGCTGTCACTCTGAGGACTCAGAAGGTCCTGACCCAAACCAGAGCAGTTCCAACTGCTTCATATGATTGTGAAAGCTGGACAATGAATAACTGATGCATTTGAATTTTAGTGTTGGTGAAGAATATTGAACAGCACATGGACAGTTAGGAGAAAGAACAAATCTTTCTGGAACAAGTGCAGGCAGAATGCTCCTAGATGGAGGATGGCAAGACCGTCTCCTGCACTTGAACATGCTATCAGAGAACCCAGTCCCCGGAGACGGACGTTATGCTTGGTGACGTAGATGGTTAGCAGAGGGAAGAGAAAGACTCTCAGTGAGTTGGGCTGGCACAGGAGCTCAAGAGGGGCTCAAACATGGCAACAATTGTTAGGAATGGCACAAGGCTGGGCAGTATTTCATTATGTTGTTCAAGGATTGCTCAATGGCCTTAACAATAATTCAATAATAAGCCCTTAAAATAAACTGCCTATGCATGACTGCCTATCTACTCTCTCTCTCTCTCTCTCTCTCTCTCTCACACACACACACACACACACACGTTCTGTTCCTCTATAGAACCTGAAGACAGAAAGTTATCCCATCACGAATACTTAAAACTTCATACAAAAATGGGGCTAGAAGAGAGTATCAAAACCAGACACAAAGTCGGGAGACAGCACAAAGATGCTGGTCTAGAAGGATGCACAGTTAGTGAGATGAACTGGAGAAAGGAATGTCTAAATGACAGAGTTTCCCCTTCCTGACAGTTCTGCCTGGAACTGACCCTATATTTCGCCACAGCCACCAAAGAGGCCACACGAAGAGTGGCTTCTCCTCAGCATTTACCATTTGATGCAATGCCCGTGAGTCCGTGCAATCTAAGTCCCTCGGAAATGCTTCCTTAGAGTAGGTGTCTCAGGAGGCGGAGTCATAAAACTAACACTCGCTGCTTAAATAGAAAATGGTTCATGCAGAACACTGAACAAGCTGTACTACTAATTCTTCTGATGCCCATACATACAGGTAAAATGCTTTATCGAGTCCTGGAATTTTATTCCACCAAGATCAAGATGCCTTTTTTAAAAACAACAAATTGCCGTTTCACTTTTATATTGCCTGGAATTTCCTTCAAAGAAAGGTGCTCAAAGCACTCTGCAAGTAGATCTGATTTTCTTCTTTAAATCATTTTATTGGGGGCTTGGGCAGCTCTTATCACAATCCATCCATCCAGCCATTGTGTCAAGCACATTTGTACATATGTTGCCATCATCATTTTCCAAACATTTTATTTCTACTTGAGCTCTTGGTATCAGCTCATTCCGCCCGCCCCCATGAACCCTTGATAATTTATGAATTATTATTATTATTTTCATGTCTTACATCGACTGCTGTCTCCCTTCACCCAGTTTTCTGTTGTTTTGTCCCCCTGGGAGAGGGTTATAAGTAGATCATTGTGATTGGTTCCTCCTTTCTCACCCCAACTTCCTCTTACCCTCCTGGTATCTCTATTCTCAGGAGGGGTTTATCTGTCCTGAATTCCCTGTGTTTTGGGCTCTTATCTGTAGCAGTGTACATGTTCTGGTCTACTCAGGTTTGTAAGGTAGAATTGAGGTTAGGAGAGTGTGGGCGAGGTGTGGAGAAAGCATTAAAGAGCTAGAGGAAAGATGTATGTTTCATCAGGGCTATACTGTACCCTGATTGGCTCATCTGTACCTTGTGACCCTTCTGTGAGGGGATGTCCAATAACCTACAGATGGGCTTTGGGTCTCCACTCTGAACTCCCTCTGATTTACATTCCTATGATTTTTTGTTCTTTGATGCCTGATAGCTTATCCCATCAGCACCTCATGATCACACAGGCTGGTGTGCTTCTTCCATATGGGCTTTGTTGCTTCTCAGCTAGCTGGCTATTAGTTTATCTTCAAGTCTTTAAGACCCCAGACTCTATATCTTTTGATAGCTGGGCACCATCAGCTTTCTTCACCACATTTGAGCTTATGCACCCATTTTGAGTAGACCTGATTTCTATTGGAGAGCAGAGGGTGAAGACTCAAGAGGATCATGCATTTCTAGGTGATTCACTTTGCAAACAAAATATCTGACGTAAATGATACAAACCTCTTCTTCCTCCCAGTCTATCAAATCCCAGTCATAAGCAATGACTGCTCTCCTCCTTTTCCAAAACTCCAGGAAAACGGTTGCTGGAACAAACCGAAAAAAGACAAAGACATTTTCAAATAAAAAGTAAATCAATGCTGTTCACTGTGTCAATGAGTAATGAAGCCATTCTAACAAATAATCGTTGTTTGTGCAAGCATCCTTGAACATCAGAGTTTCTGGAGAGCAGAATCTCATTTAATTTGGACTCTGTGGAGATGCAGCATGAGAGACTTCCTTTAGAATTAAACTGGTTTTCAAGCTGAAGCAGAACAGACTTAATGATAAAGCTCCTGGGATGTGAGAATATGAAATCCAGGTTACCAGCATATTTTCTAATATACAGAGCATTTATGTTTTAAATGTAGGACGTTTTGGGGACAGAGAAGCAAAATACCAAATCTTGTAGTTCACGTGTTTTTGATTGGCTAATTTCATGTCCCCTTAATACTCAGCACAGCAAATATCCATGTAAGATCTATTTTACTACTTCAGTGAAGGAGCCGTTGTATGTACTGACAGGGGTCTTGTGGCTTCTTTTCCTAGACATGAGCTCTGGTCTCTCGGTGAAGGCAAAACTGTTCAACCCTCTTAAGGACCTTTTCCGGGAAGTGTGCAGTAGCTGGTCTTCCCATCCACTGAAATCTGGGATTATCTTCATTCACTAAAAGCAACTGTCTACTCAATTCAATGAACAATACTTGAATTAAATCTACTCAGATAAATTGATGATCATTATATAGTGAACCAACTTGATGGCACGTGACAACATCATATAGTGAAACAGAGATTAAAAATATAAGTTTTACAAGCCTGCTGAGGGTGTGTGTATACATGTGTGTACATGGGAAGATGTGTACACACACACATAAACACATACACACAATCTGGGGATGACTGCAAGTCATGTAAGAGACATCTTGTGGCAGACTGGCAGAAGTTAAAAATATACAAGGGGGCTTTAATGATCTTTTAATTAATTTTTCCATGAACTTTAAAAGTGCTCTCTTATGTGCATTCAGTCCTGGGGAAAAGGTGCATATCCAAGTGTCCATCCTGAAAAAAGAGATAATTAGGCTCTTCTTTTCCATTCCCACTTGTTCTCACCCTACTTCCCCATTAGAGGTAGCTGGGCATAGAAAATATACTTGTAAAATAAGAAATTCGAAAGACAGCCAGAATAATAGTTGAGAGCACTTTGGTTTGTGACCTGGGCGTTTCTGGACTTGAAATTCAGATCAGACACAAATTGAGATACTGTTGGCCCAGGAATGTCCTTTTATAATTCTCAGTTTCCTGAAGTGGAAAGGAAGAATGTTAATCCAAGCCCATAATACCTTATCTGCAATTCCAAATGCTAATAAAAATGCAAAGGTGTTTCCCAAGTTGGACATAAATGCAAACGATGGCAAAACTCTGACCCTCACTGAGCAAGGCTCTTCATCACCGCTAAGCTGCACAGTGAGAATACTCACGAATTAAGCAGCAGCTACGCTGATGCACTGGAATACGAGGTCCTTCTTCAGGACTTCTGGGGTGCTACGTGATATGTGGGATATACAGCATAGTACTTTTCTAAAAATCTGGAAATTTAGGGTTCCAAGACATGTGATTCAAGGGTCTAGGATAAGGGCTTGTGGGCATGTAGATATTTTACAGGTTGCTGTGAGCTTAAAAGGAGACCATGAATGTGTTGAGCTGGGTCCAGTCCCTGGCACTTAATGAGTACTCAAAAAACAGGTAATATTTTAAGGACTGAATCACTTATATGTTTTAATGTAATGCATGCTAAGCTTCTGTGAGTTTTTTTGAACACTAAGGTTTTGTGGTTTTCTATTTGGGGAGCTAACTTTACCCGTTCCCACCCAGAGCTTTTCTGTAGTACGAAACCATGGCTAACATTCTGCAAATAGGGAGGAAAAAAATTCACTGAATTGGTATTTTCCATCATCTTATTTTAAGGTATTTAGTTTTATATGGGAAAGAACCCCTTTCTATTGAATATATTTGGTTTTCATGGTAAGACTGAAAATTCGTTATCTTTGATTTAGTTAACATATAGCAAACATTTCCTACGTGTTAGGTACTGTCTTTTATTTTCTCAACTGTCCTTACATGTGGATAATCTTTTCAACACCCTGTGGATGAGGACATGTTATCAGGAAAGATCAGTTCCTAGGAAAGGGTGGCTTGCTGGGGAGAGGGGCACAGAAGAAGAGGATGACCTCTAAGCTGATGGCTTGACCCAATGGCTGCACTGACGGGCTCAAACCTAACAAGGATTGTGAGGATGGCACAAGACGGGGCAGTGTTTTATGACCTTGTACATCGACTCGACAGCATTTAGCAGCAGCAACAAGAGAGAGGAGGAATCTGAAACTCAGAGCAGTCACACAGTTTGTAAATGCACTCTTGGGTGAGCTTGTGAAATCTCAATAGAAACAAACAAACATAAGATACGTGGCAGTTACATAATCTGTCAACTTGCAAAGGGGTGGACGCTAGCCTGCCAATTAGATCACAGCCAATGAAGCCTCTATGTGGGCATGGCCTTCTCCTGAGGATTCTGGGAACCCCTGTCTTCCTCACTGAAGGCTGGACACACTCTCTCTGCTTGCCTCCCTGTGAGATATTCCGGTTGATAAGCCACATGGAGCAAGGCTGATGGAGCCAGAGCCTTGGAACTGGAGAAGCCATGTGGAGACCTACGCCACTGACCAGTGCTGAGATGCTTCCAGCACCACAGGATCCATAAGACTTGCCACCCACTGGCCTGTGATCTTCCTATATTCTGTACCACTGCATGTGTTGTATGAGTCTGAAGAGGAATTTTCAGACTGTTATCAGACAAATGGGCTAACATCAGACCTATGGATTTGATCTGGACTGGGCAGGGATATTTTCTTAATATACAATTACTCTTTATATAAAGCTTTCTCTTAACAAATATGAGTGTCTATGAATTTGTTTCTCTAGTCAACCCAGACTAACACAAAGTACATGGCACGGCAGGCATACATTGGAATGAGTGGCGGTAAGCAGACCAGATCTGGTTTAAAATCTAGACTTTAGCACATGCCGGCTATGGAGTAATCTTGAGGTAAATTGTAATTGCCTGAACCTCAATTTTCTCTTTGATAAAGTGGGGATAGTAATTCCTTTTGGAGGGTTATTAGAAATTGATGAGGTATCATTTTAGGCATTTAATGAATATACACCTTTCTTAGACTCTTATGGGTAGATTTGGTCCTCAAAGGAAAAAAAAAAACAGCACAGAGATTTAGAAACAAGAGGCCAATTATTATGCAATTTACTTTTTAAAAAAACCGATGCCTACTTCATTCGCCCGTTGAAATTGAGACCTGTTTCACTCGCCAGGCACAGACAGCCCCATATGCAGAATCTCTGAGTTTGCATTAAAATTATTACAATCTTGTAATTTCACTGGAGGGTTCTGAGGACCTTGTTTTATTGGGGATAATGTGATTCTTGGCAACACAGAAAGTGAAAAAAAAAAACATTAAAAGAAGGGGTGGGGAGAGAGGAAAAAGTAAAGAAATGAAGTACCAGGGAGGTGACCGGCTTTCTGACAAGACAATGCCACCATCAGCTCCCTCATGACTTATTTTTCACCCCCTTGGGGGATAAACCAATATACTCCTTCATTGTTCTGTCCCTTGTATCTGTCTGCACAAAAATGAGCACTGAGGGAAAAGTTACATGGTAGTTCAAGCCCAGAGCCCCAGGCTCACTAAGCTCCCAGATAGAACTGCCAACTCACTCGTGCACACGCGGACAAAGGCCAAGGAGCTCTGTTAAGGCTCCTAACCCTTATCACAGTCCATACATACATCGATTGCATGTCAAGCACATTTGTACATCCGTCGCCCTCATCATTCTCAAAACATTTGCTCTCCACTTAAGCCCTTGGCATCAGCTCCTCATTTTCCCCCCTCCCTCCCTGTTCCTCCCTCCCTCATGTTCCTCCTCCATTATTATTATAAATAATAATTTATAAATTATTATTTTGTCATATCTTACAGTTATCAGAGTTGTATGAGCCCTCCAATAAAAATTTTTTTAAAAATGATTTTAAAAAAAGAAGAACTAGAGGAAAGGTATAGAGCAAAAGCACAGGAACACCATGTTATAAATAACGTCTCCATAGTTTAGTATATTTTGGGATATTTTGTTTTATATGATTGGTTTGTACTTCCACCCCTAATGGTGAGCTCTTAAGGATGAGAATTGCATTGAATGCATAATTGCCTCCTCAAAATGTCTCTTAAAGTGGTAGTGTTCCCTAACGGTTGATTGATTAGGAGAATAAATGTACAGATTTCTGTTTCTGATGAAATGTTTGATCAGGTGTCAAACTGGAAACAATTAAAATTCTGGGGAAAATACTTTTGAAACAATCTTAATGTTTGTGGTAGTTATATAATCAATTGCCATTTTGAGAGAATTAAGAGTGAAGGGGTGGAGTTTACCCTGTTAATCAGGTCACAGCCAATGAGTTCTCTGTGTGGGCGTGGCCATCTCCTGGGAATTCTGGGAACTCCTGTATTCCTCCTTGGAGATGGGAAACTCTCTCTCTCTCTCTGCTGACTTCCTGGGAGACATTGCAGTTGACAAGTCACATGGAGACAGGCTGATGGAAGCCAGAGGCTTGGAGCTGGAGAAGTCACATGAAGACCCCTGCCAGCACTGAGATGTTTACACCACCACTGGATCCACAAGACTTCCTGCCCACTGGCCTGTGATCTTCCTGCACTTGGTGTCATTGCATGTGTTTCATGAGTCTGAAGAGGATTTTATAGAGTGGTATCAGACATATAGGCTAATATTGGAGTTATGGACCTAATCTGGACTGGGCTGGGATGCTTTCCCAATATTCAATTGCTCTTGTATACAAAGCTCCTTCTTATACACATATGGATATGTGTTTGTTTTGTTTTGTTTCTCTAGTCTACCTAGACGAACACAATGCTCTGAAGGGTTTTCAAGAATTAAAAAAAAAAAGACCCCTGATCCAACACAAAAG